GGGCGGTGGCGGGCGTGGGAACGGGGGCAGGGGGATGAGGGGGGTCCCTTCCATGTGCTCGTTTCAAAGTGGCGGGAATCGGTGCACGTGCGCGCGTGTGCGCTTGTGCACGCACATGCACACGCACGCGCGTGCGCGCACGCACACACACACACACGCGCGCGCACGTGCGCGCACGCACACGCGCATGCACGCGCATGCACACACTCCACAACGAGTGCAAGGCCCGCACACGCACGGCCTCAAATTGCTACTGACCGCCCTGCTGCCCAGCCGCCTGCATCCAGCCGCACGATTGTGCCTGCACTCCTCCCCTCCCCAATACCAGGCTGCCCTGCCCGTGGCCCACCTGCGCACGCCCAGGCGCCCTGCGACCCGCACGCGCGGCAGCGGAGGTTGCCGCCGGCGACAGGGGCGCACTCGAGGCCCTGCCCCTTGCACCTGCCGCCCTTCCGGCGAAGGCAGCAGGGGTTGTCGAGGCTGCCGCAATTATCCGGGTCCTTCTTGGCCCTAGGAGTCGGGAGGCGAGGGCAGGGGACGTTGGGCGGAGGCAAGTGGCGGGTGCCGGGGGCGCGAGGGGGCCGCGGCGGGCGGGGCGCGTGTGCCGGCCCCGGATTTCGCAGCGATGCGCGGCCGCACACCTCATGAGCACGGATCCCAGGTTGCCTCCATCAGCTAGTACCGATTGCGCCAGGACCGCTGCGCAGAGCGCGAGGAGCAGGACTCGAACCATGGTGCCTCTGCCCCGGGAGACGGTGCTGGGGTCACACGAGGGGGGGTGAACACACGCGAAAAGAGGTATAAGCCTCAAAATGGAAAGGATGCAACTGAGGCTAACGCGTGACTGGCGTGTAAGGTGTGTGGGAAAGGCCTCTTGGCGAAACTCAGAATTCGCACTCCTCCAGCTTTCCAGCCTGAGAACTCAGCCTGTGACACTGAAGTAAAAACCAAAACTCCTTTTATAAATATGCAAACGCCCGCTCGAAGGCCAGAATGCTGTCAAGAGACTTCTTAGAAGTCATGGGGACGGCGGCATTCGGCACCGGACCGAGAACGGGCCTCGCACACAGACAGGCTCGCAACGGGTTCCACAGTGCGGTGCAGCAAATGGCTGTCCCCTGAACGAACATCACCAGTAGGTGAGCTATATCTTAATCGCAGGCGTCCACCCTTTTGCCTGTCAGAACAAAGCCAGACTATGACTGCGCTGAAGCGGATCAGAACCCTGTCACAGCTGCCGCAAGAGGCTTGCGCCGCCAGTTTATGATAACTGCGACTCCTGCCTGCTCCGTGCTGTGCTCCCACCACCACACACCCTGCAAAGCTGGCCCGTTTCTGGGGATTCCTTCTTGCCATAGCCCACTGCCCCGCGTGCAGCCCCTGCGTTTTTGTACATGTAAGGCAGCAGCCGCCCAGCAATGCAGGCGTTGGCTGCCCTCTTTAAGCTCGCACTGCAGGAGTCTGTGGCCTGGCACCCCAGGCGCTCGCGGTGCGCTGTTCGCTCCACCTCGGCCACTTGCACTGCCTCTGCCGCTGTTCTCCTCAGATCCGCTGCCAGGAAGCAGGTTTGACGGGGTGTTGACCTTCACACAAGTATTTACCATGCCCACGCCGTTTGGATCACAAGCAAATGCGTGACCAACAGTACCGCCTGCCCCTCAAACCTGCCTCCCACGAAACCGCAGAATGCAATCCCCCCAACCCACAGGCATGCCAAGTCAGCCAAGAATACATCAAGTGGTACGGCAAAGAAGACAGGGGACCCTGCCAGATTTTCAGACCCATGGCTTGCAGTACGCCTGGGCGGCCAAGAAAGGCCCCAAGGCGATGTGCGATCTGCCAGGAGCGATCAAAGGCGGTCGCGGGGGCGCTAAAAGAGGCGTGAGTTTGCAAGCGGGGCTGCGAGCTGTCTGCCTGCCACCCCGGCCGCCCCGCCGCGGCCCCCGGCGCGCGCCCCTTGCGGCAACTGGCAGCCGCACGGGCGCGGGCGGGCACTCACCAGCCCGCCAGGGGCTGCGGCCGCGGCGGGCGGACATTGGAACGAGTGCCTCCCTCCAAACAGAGACATCCAAGGCAGGAGTGGGGCGACCAGAAGCCGCCAGAGCGAGGCGCCACGTCAGCCAACCGTGGAAGCAATTCTGGTGTGCGGGGATGCCGTATGCATGCAAAGCTCAGTGTGGTGCTGCGCACGCTTGTGATGTAGGCGCGCGCGCGGGGGGGATGTACGAAATGAGGCCCCACCCTCGTTTTCGTCAGTTCTGATGGCAATTCACGGATGTTTGGTCCCTCGCCGAAGCCTGGGCCAGGAGTCGTACCCATGCGCGGCAGGAGTGTGAGCACGGGGCCCCGCAGCGCAGGACCCGCATGGCAGGTGCCGCCTTTTGCCCGCGGGAGTTCGGGGCTAGGCGCGTAGCGCGCCTGCATGGATGCGAGAGCCCGCAGGCGGCATGCCCGGCAGCGCGCTCGCGGTAATAGACAAGTGATATCAGGGCGAACGACGCCCGGCGTCGCGCCTGCAGGCAGGCCGGACACACCATATGCTCGTTGGCAGCGCTCAAGCTGCGCGCCCGAAGGCGCGCGCTTTAAATGCGGGGCGCGCCCGAAGGCCGCTTGGATGCACACCTCCACAGTGCGGTGCTCCAGGGCGCCCCCGAGGGATGCATGCATGCCCGCCTCGCGCGCAAAAGTGGCGGCGCTGCGGGCCCCAGGCGGTGGGCGGCGCCCAGGGGTGAATCAAAGGGAGCTCTCGGGCGGTGGCCAGGAGCTGGAGGCGTGTGGATGGGGGTGCAACGCGATGCACCAACGGATACCCAGAAAGGCCTGCATTGCGTGTGAACGCCTGGCACAGGTGCCGGCCTGATTGCCGCGATGAGGCGGCGGGGGGCACGCCGCGAGGCGCGGCGCGTGGCGAGGGCGCCCCCTTGCAAGACGCCTTGAGTGAGGGCCCTCAGGGCCGTGAGGTTGCCCATGCCGGCCCGCCATGCACAGAGGCGGGACAGCTGGCGGCTGGGGCCGCCGCGGGCGCCACGCATCACCATGTGGTGCTGGCGCTCCATACACAGACACAAAAAAGTGTGGGTTTGTAGACTCATATATACGTGGCTGTGGCTTGGCCGGGCCCCGTTTGTCAGGGCTAAGCGAGCGGTTGGCGTCTCAGCCGGCCGCATGCATATCATTCACATAGAACAGCACACATATGTATCATGAAGGATCCGCGCAGATGAATGGCCGCAACAAGATGCTGTTTTTCGCGCGCGGCCGCCGCTGCCAGTCTGGTGCCCCGAGGGGCCTGCCACCGCGTGCGCAGGCCTGCACGCACCATCTGGGGCCACCTCCTTTCAAATTCCCAAATTCCTTGGCAGGGGGCGACAGCATCAAAGCCCTTTGCCTCACGGCAGGCTCCATGAAAGCCCGCCGACGCTGAATGAAGCCGACCCGCCCGCGGCGAGGGGCACCTTGAGAGTCGGCGCGTCGGCGCCGACCGCCTCGAAGGTGCCCTGGTCGGCGGTCGTGCCCGGCGGCGTGGTCAGCGGAGCGGTGCAGGCGCCGCCGCCGCTGGAGACGGTGACAGTCTTCACCTTCTTGTCCGGGGTAACCTCCAGCCTGGTCAAAGGCGGGAAGGGGGCGATTGCGTTGCAGGGTGGGCTATGCAGGACAAGGGGCAGTAGGGGTGTCTGGAAGAGAGGTGGAAGAGGAGGAAGTGGGCTACGCCGACTGCCCGCAGAGCCCAGGCCATTGCGCGACGCTCCGCGCCAGAGGCCCCACAGCCTCTCCAGCCTCGCCGGCCCTCATCAGCTCGCTGAGTCAGAGAGGCGGGAGAGCACACCTGTATGAGAGCTTGCACGCGTCGCGCGCCTCGCGCTCCTTGAAGATGGCGTAGAGGTCGTCGAGCTTCTTTGACTGCACAGGCCAGTTGACCACCGAGTGGAACTCTGTGAGCACGGCCTTGAGCCAGCGCGACACCAGGCTCTGCCTGCAGGCGGCGACGGGGGCGGGGGGTTTGCCGGAGGCGGGAGTGCAGGTGAGAGTTGGGCGTGCGGTATGGATGTGAGCGCAGGAGGGGGGGTGTCAACATGTGCAGGGAGCAATTGGGGTGCGCTGGACGCTGTTTGGGCAGCAGGCGCTCGGGGGCAGGGCGGTTGGCGGCACGACTCAGACTCTGCGTTCCAACCTCACACACACACACACACACACACGCATGCACGCACGCGCACACACACACGCACACACACACAATATACACACACTCACGTGCACACACAACCTTCACCCACCCCGTGGAGTCAACCACCATGTTGGCCTGGTGCATCATGTAGGGGTCGTGCCGCATCGCCAGCAGCCCCTCCCTCACGACGCGCACTGCCTCGCGCTTCACAATGTCGTCGATGGTGGAGTAGGCGCCGTAATAGCTCTGGTACAGCGTGTTGTAGACGCTCTCGATGTGTGCCGCGGTGGAGCAGTTGAAGTAGATTTCTGTTGGGGGCAGGTGGGGGTTGGGGGGCAGAGGGGATGCGGCATGGATTTGCGTAACGAAACTTGCAGTGGTGATGAGGAGGTGCGATTCGCGGGCAGTCGGGGGGCCGCATGGCGCGTGATGACGTGGATGCGACCGCGTATTACTGTAGACCCGAAAACCGGGCATTTGTCGCTGCGCCGGCAGACGCCGTTGGGACGGGCTTGGAGGAGCAAAGGACAAGGGTGCACGCCGGCGCACAAGAGGCTCGGTTTGTGTGTGCCAGGCCGAGATCTCAACACACCTCAGCACAGGCGTGCCGGGAGGCTGGGTGAATAACAAGAACGACGCGCCGGGGGGAGGGGAGAGAGGGGGCGCTCACCAGTGGCAAAGCGGGGCAGGAAGGCGAAACCATCGTACCCATTCTTCTCCTGCGCGCGCAGAAACAAGTGGTAGGCGTCAGGTTTGCAGGCGCGCAGGGCATTTGGTGGGGGTGGGGGCAGGGGATGGGGAGAGGGCACTGCAGCGCGAGATTCGGAGGACGATTGCACGGCGCGGCCACAACAGCAAGCAAGCAAGCAATCGTGTGCGCACGAGCGTGGTCTTTTTCGCGGTGCAGGCAGACCCCTCCAATTGGGTATGCCATTGCTTCCCAGGGAACTTCAGCCCGGACCTCGCGCCGTGAACTTCCCGCTCACCACATTGGAATAGAGCATCTGGTAAGGGTTGGCCAGGTTCCTGAGGTGCGCCCACGTGTTGTCGCCCGTGGTGCACTCGATGCCCTGGGACTTGAGGCCTGACAGCGCGTCACCATTGACGAGGCCGCTGATCTGCGGCGTCACCATACACTTGCTGCTGAAGGTGGGCTTGCTGGCCAGGTTGAGGTGCGCCTGGGGGTTGATGGTTCCGAGGTTGGGGGTTGGTGAAGGCTGCAAAGTTCGAGGGCTTGAGGTATCTGGGGGTCTGATCAGGGTGTTCTAGGTTGAGGGGTCTGAGGCGTTGCACGTGTCAAGGGCCGCCTGCGGTCTGGTGAGGAGCCAGCCTCGGCTCCCAAGCGGCTCCAAACGCACGCTGGGCAGCTCCAGCCTCCGCAGCACGTCGCTTGAGCATGCCGTGCAGCGTGTGGGGCCCAGTGCATTGATTGATGTGTTGGGCTTCAACAGCTCCGCGGCGCCACGCCACTGAGCAGGCGTGGCGCGGCGCAAGGGCAGGCACCCACCGAGGAGGCTATGAGGTTTCCGAGGCGGACTTGCTGCGCCGCGTCGTACACGGTGGCGTTGTCGAGGTTCTGCAGAGGAGTAGGGGCGGCATATCGCAGGTTCTCAGGTCAGAGGGCGAGCCGCTCTGTTATAGGTAGTTGCAAGGCGTGCCGAGGGCAGTGCCGCCGCGGCCGAGGGCACTTCGGGTCAGGACCCGCAGCGAGCGCCTGCCGCGCCATGGGGGCCGCCGTGGCTGCTGCAGAGGCCGCGCACCGGCACCCACGGGGCACCGGCCTTGCGCGACACCTCGAACCCAATCCCGCACGTGCGAGAGGGGGATCAAGCCCGACCGTCATGGCGCGCCCCAGGCGTCGCTGCGCGCGAGCACGCCCCGTGCGTGAGCAGCCGAAGCCAGCCACCAGGACTGGCAACAAGTGCCTACCTCGTGGGTGAAGGTGTGGTGGGACCAGAAGAACTTGTTGGTGATGCCTGAGCCATCCACATCAGCCATGATGGCAACGGCGCGCGGGTCACCGCTGAGGATCGCCTTGGGCCAGCCGTTTGGGAGGCTCTGCGGTTGAGGAGTTGGGGGTCATTCAAACGAGAGAGAGTGTGTGTGTATGTGTGCGCAAGTGTGTTGTGTGTGCGTCCGTTTTTGTCAGGGAGAGAGAGTGTGTGTGTGTGTGTGTGTGTGTGTGTGTGTGTGTGTGTGTGTGTGAGTGTGCGTACCGCTAAATTGGCTCAAAGTGGTGCATGTGCGCGCATGCGGGGCAAAAGGGTGCCGTTAGGGTCCTCACGGCACGACAAGGCGATGCCAAAAAGGCAGGACAGGGCGGCGCAGGGGCGCCCACCGTGAGGGGCGGCACTCGGTCGGCGCCGGTGCCCAGAGGTTTCGGCCTGTCCTTTGTGCAAGTGCGGCAGTACTCGGGGGCGGAGGCCGGGCAGTTCTGCCAGCCGACGGCCCAGCAGTTGCAGCCCAGCTGCGAGTACATGTCGTTGTCCGCGCAGCCTGCGGCGGCGGCGGCAGCGGGAAGTTTGACGGGGGAGGGCAAGTGAGCTTGAGTGAACGGAGTTGGGGAGGGAGGGGGGACGAGGAGGAGGGCCTCCATCGGGCGCCCGGGGGTGCTGCATTCTGTCAATAGGCCAGCACGCGGCGTCCGAGGCGGCTGCGCTGGCGCGTCGCGCACCGCCGTCCGGGACCGTGAGGTAGCCCGAGTTGACGCCGTTGTTGTAGGCCGTCTCCAGTACGCCGTTCCCGTTGTACGGCAGGTCAAGCCTGCCCGGCGGGCGGGGCAGGGAGCAGGGAGGGAGAGAGGGGGGGGTTGGTGATCCGGGACCTTAAACAGATTGACCCCCACCCGCTTGATAAGAGGAGGCGCTCGCAAGGCGCGCTCTCGCAGCGCCGCTGAAAACGATACAGCCGCCTGGCGCCCGTGCGCATAGGTAGCGGCCGCCGGCGCAGCCCGGCGCCGCTGCGTCGCGGCCGCGACCGCGGCGGCGCCTGGTCCAGGGCGCGCGCTCTCAGGCGCACCTGATGTCAGTGCCGGGCGGCGTGTTGGGCCACGACTTCACAGTGACCTCCTGGAAGGCGATCTGGGCACAGCCGTTCGTTTCGGGGGGTGGGGGGCGCGAGGCAAGGCAAGGCAAGGGCGACTGTGAGGTCCTGAAAATGCAACTGCGGGGTCCATTGCGGCGGGGGCGCCGCATTCGGCCCCCCTCTTCCAGGATCAAGCGTGTCCGCCACCCTCCCCCGCGCCGCCGCCTCCACCCCAGTCTTCCCTGCGAAACTGCCGCGTACCCCGTCTGCCCCGAACCTGACCCCCAAACCCCTCAAACCCCCCACCTGAGACCTCATGTCAGCGACGCTGGCCTGGTACGACTCAGACACAGTGCCGTCGGGCTTCAGGGGGCACGACGTGCACGCGGTGGACAGGAAGAAGTCGTCCATCTGGGGGTGGAGGGGAAAATGGGTGAGCGCGCCACACGCTTCAGCAACAGGGCGAACGGCAGAGACAAAGAGCACAGGGCGAAGGGGAGCAAGGGGGCCTTGTGGGCGATGCACCATGCATGAGAGGGCGTCGGCCCGCTGAGCATCGGGCGCGGGACGGAACGCACGGGCGACCGCCGCGGGCGGCAGGCCGTCGGACCGGACGCGCACGTCTGGGCGCCCCGCATGCGAGATTGCCGGCGGTGCACTACCCTCGGCTTCGCTCGCATCCAAGCCTTGCAGGGCGCAGCCCTTGCTGCCATGAAAGCGACACATGTGCACAGACACAGTTCACACAAACACACAACAACACCAACATCACGGAACCCCTCACCTGCACAGTCAGCAGGGAGCGCCGCTGCCCCGGGATGATGTTCTGATTCATCCAGGCCACCACCACGTGACTAATCAGGGAGCAGGCCGTTGACCAGGTGGCGCAGTCAAACACAAACGCCATCGACTCGCGGCCGTCACCATACCTAATGCAGTTGAAGAGCGTTGAGGGGGGGGTACAGGTGGATGAGTTGGGGGGCACAAGTGGGCTGCCGAGGGCGGCTGGCGGGTCAGGGCCAGCTTGGACGAGGCTGCTGGGGCTGTTGTGGCGTCAGCAGCCATTATAAAACCAAGACTGGAGGCTGATCGCGAGAATGCTGCGCTCTCATCACGGCAGCGGGGCATCTGCGTTATCATGTACTGCACATTTGCCTGTGGAGCAGAGCAAACGCATGCGAGTGGGCGGCCGGGACTCGGGCTGCCGTGGGCCTGCCGGCCGCTCACTTGACGAGGGTGCCAACGACGCCCTCTGGGACCTCCAGGATCGACGTGGCCGTGCAGGCGGGCACGATGCCGGTGTCGCTGAAATCGGAGGCCCACATGCCGCAGGTGGGGAGGGGGCCGTTGGTCTTGAGGCCCGGGCACCTGCGGGGGATTATGGTGGGGGTTGAGGTGCGGGTGGGGAGGTGGGACGGGGCGTGCCGGCTAGGGGGCAGACGGGGGGGCCGGTCAGCGGCGGCGAAGGCAACGGGCGCGTGATTTGCAAATGAGAGGTATTGCCTGCCTGCAAAGGACGGCGGCGGCGAGGCGGGGCTGCGGCGGTGCCGGAGAGGGGGCCCCTTGTTCGCGCCGCACCCAAAGCCGCTACGGGCCCAAAGCGCCCGCCGCGCCCAAAAGAGCCCCTGCCCCGACCGCCCGGCCACCAGTCCCCGGACGCTTCCCGATGTCGTGCGCTGCGCCCCCGCGCCCGCACAGCGGCGGCAGGGGCGGCCACGCACCTGTAGAGCCCCGCCGTGCTCAGCTGGGCGCCCGCGCGCACGCCAGAGATGCCAAACGGCGCCGCCGCCGTGAACGTCATCGTCCCGGCGTTGGCCGAGCAGCCCGAGAAGTTGGGCTCCCAACCGACGTTGGAGGGCCAGGCGGCAAACTTCACGCTGCGAGCTCCCGTTTTCTTCTGGTAGTCCCAGACGATGGCCACCTCGGCCTTAGTCAAGTGACCCAGGGCCTCGAGGTTGGGGTACCTGGCGGTTGGGGCAGGGGGGACGGCAGGTGGGCGGGTGGTGATTAGCAGGCCGGCAATCGGACAGAGCGGGCTCGACAGTCGCGCTTGTTTCATTCGACCAACAGATGGGGCAGCCGCCGCGTTTGTGCCGCGGCGAGGGTGCGACGGCGGCGAAAACCATACATGCAGGAACATGGGAACAGGAAAGGGGTTGGCCGGCCTCACATGATGTAGCTGCTGTATTTGCCGCTGCCGTCCGCGTTCCAGAGCAGCCACTGCAGGTCCAGCCGCGGCGACGCGTCCTTGTCGAAGCGGTAGAGGTCGTAGGGGGTGCCGTAGGCTCGGAGGGTGCGTTCCAGGAAGTCAGTAGCAGTGAAGCCTGGGGGGGCCGGGGCAGCATGTCGTTGGGCGGCGGTCGATGCGCGTGTGTTTGTGTATGGGGGGGAGGGAGAGGTATAGTCTCGCAAAATCAAAGACTGTTGATACCACTCAGGAGGGAGGGCAAGGGGGGGTGACTAAGCAGCAGCCGGACGCCGTGCTTAGGGGGGAGGCGAGCGGCCGCTGCTGCTGCTGCCGCTGCTCCAGCTGCTGCCGCTGCTCCTGCTGCTGCCGCTGCTCCTGCTGCTGCCGCTGCCAATGATGAACGGTAATAATGCCGCTGCCAATGATGAACGGTAATAATGCAACCACCACAGCACCGCACCTGGCACGGTCAGCACGAGAACGCGGTGGTCCATCACCACGTTCTTCGCCGGCGGCTTTACGGGCACCGTGGACGCGTCGACGGTCACATTGGGCGCGTTGCGCATCCAGTCGGCCGCGACGTGCGCGAGCGTGAGGCAGGTCGGGCTCCACGCGGCGCAGTCGTGCACGAAACCCATCGTCTCGCGGCCGTCGTCGTACCTGTGTCACAGCGATCGGGGCGTTGGGGGGTCGGCGGTTGAGGTGCGGTGCGTTCGACTAGGGTGACAAGAGCCGGCGGCACGCACATGCCAAGGCCTTCAAGGGTTCACACTTACAAGGCAGGTCGTGCAAATCCTGCTGTTTCACCCTTTGTGCCCATCTCTACGTTTGCCCCCGCCCGCGTCCTCGGACGCGCGAAGCTCACGCGACGGTGACCCCGGTGATGCTCGGCACGGCGAACGCGGTGCCGAGGGTCGGGTCGGCGTTCAGGGTGACCATGGGCGTGGGCTTGCAGCCCGGAGCGATGCCGGTGAGGGCAAAGTCGTTGGCCCAGATGGCGCAGGTGGTCAGGGGCTGGGCGGCGTCGCCGGGGGTCCTGGGGGAGGGGAGGTGCGTGCGGGTGTGTGGGTGTGTGGGTGTGTGTGTGAGAGAGAGAGAGAGAGTGTGTGTGTTTGTGGGCGGGGTGAGTGGGTGTGTGCGTGCTTGTGGAGCGGGATGAAGCATGCAAGACAGAACGAGTCGGCTGCCAGAAGGCGCAAAAAAAGAGGCAGCACAACGCTGCGGCCACGGGCTCGAAACAGGTGGCAAAGCAGATGAAGCGTGCGCGCACGCGTTCCGGCCTCTCACCTCCAGAGCCCCTTGGCGGTCAGCGCCGCGGTGACTGGAACATCGGACGTGCCAAGGGGCGCAACGGGCGTAAACTGCATGCCCAGCTCCTGGCTGCCAGACGCGTCGAATTTGGGGTAGAACCCCAGGGTGGTGACCCAGACGCCAAACTTGGCGCTGCGGACGCCTGTCTTGGCTTGGTAGTCCCAGATCGTGAGAACCTCGGCCTTAGTCAGGTCGCCGATGGCCTCGAGGTTGGGGTACCTTTGGCGCAAGGGGGGGCGCCAGGGTTGGGCGGTGATGCAGAGGGGTTGGGTGCGGGAAACTGGGTGGTGTAGCGGATGGGATGCACCGTCCAGAAGAGGGCGAGCCAAGAGCACACGGGCGCCGCCGATGGACGGCCGCGCTGCGCAGCCCCCCCCCCTCCCTGCTTTCGTGGGAAAGGTCCCCCGCTCCATCGCCGCCATCCCCCAACCGCTTGCAGACGCACCGCCGCCCGCGTCAGACGCGGCGCCGCCGGCTCGCAGGAGCGGCACACGTGTTCGTGTCTGCTCGCGCGCCCCGCAGGCACCCGGCTCGCACGCGCTGCTCACATGTAATAGCCGCGGTACTTGCCAGAGCCGTCGGCGTTCCAAAAGACGGACTTGAGGTCGAGGCGCGGCGATGCCGCCGAGTCGAACACCACGACATCGAATATGATCCCGTCCTGGGTCAGGGTCTGCTCCAGGAACGAGATCATGCGCCATGCTGGTGGGTCGAGGGGTTTGTGTGTGGG